TATTATATATAATATATATATATATTATATATATATTATATATAATATATATATATATATATATATATATATATATATATATATATATATATATATATATATATATATATATATATATATTATATATATATATATATATATATATATATATATATATATATATATATATATATATATATATATATATATATATATATATATATATATATATATATATATATATATATATATATATATATATATGTCGTACCTAGTAGCCAGAACGCACTTTTCGGCCTACTATGCAAGGCCCGATTTGCCTAATAAGCCAAGTTTTCCTACATTAAAAAATTTTCTCTAATTTTTTTCTTATGAAATGATAAAGCTACCCATTTCATTATGTATGAGGTCAATTTTTTTTTTATTGGAGTTAAAATAAACGTAGATATATGACCGAACCTAACCAACCCTCCCTAACCTAACCTAACCTATCTTAATAGGTTAGGTTAAGTTAGGTGGCCGAAAAAGTTAGGTTAGGTAGGTTAGGTAGTCGAAAAACAATTAATTCATGAAAACTTGGCTTATTAGGCAAATCGGGCCTTGCATAGTAGGCGGAGAAGTGCGTTCTGGCTACTAGGTACGACATATATATATATATATATATATATATATATATATATATATATATATATATATATATATATATATATATATATATATATATATATATATATATATAAAATAAAATATTGGTGTATACTGGCAGGAAGTTTTCATTTATACATGTTTCATTGAATAAGACTGCATATTCTGTATTGATTATTTTCTTGTTTAAGGCATCTATCCCTCTGACTAATGCTCTTGCATCTTGGTTTAATTGAAAGAGGATTTCTCCAAATGTCATCTGTGTTTGAGGTGAAGAAAAAGAAGTAATTAATTGTAGAATATATTACACATTATAAATTTACACAACGTTTTGAACCTACATTGTTCATTCTCAAGTGAAGGGACAGTGCTAGGCATATTGAATTTATACCATTAAGGAGGACAGGTGCATAAAACAAAAATTTTAGAACATTGTAAAGAAAGAATAGGGCATAAGTTGGGGAAGGTTAGGGGACGTAAATAGAAACAAAGCATATACCAAGATTAATCGGGTGTAGTGGGTGTGGCATGTTGAGCAGTGTCTTCTATGTTGGTGTTAACATGTTCTGGTCCAGTTCGTACTCTCATGGTGGGTAACATGAATAGTTCTGTAATTTGGGTTTTTATGGTGGGTTGTTCTATTTTTATATGGATTGCTTCAAGAATTTGTAATCTTCTTACATCTTGGGTTTTGTGTATTATACAAGTGTTTTTATTCAACATTGCTCTTGTTAGGGTAATGTCATGGGCTTGTCTCATTTGATTTTTAGGGGCACCTGATTGAAGATGACAGGTCAAATGCCTCATCATTTTCATTGACGTCATACCTATGTACACTACTTAGATTGAATGACATCCTTAATTGGGGTAGGTGTACATATATACCATGTTTGACTGCTGTAAAGTGTTCTCCATCAGCTTCGGGCTGTTTTTAATGAGGAGGTTGGTAGTCTTCTTTATTTTATAGAATAGTATTATATCTATGTTTTGGTTAGGAGTTGTATACATTTATCTACAGATAAATGGAGTAGCAATGGGCTTTCCCCCTAGGAGTGTTATTTGGAAATTTTTACATGGGAATCATCGAAGAAAGAGTCTTCAGTAGTAGGCAAAAACTATTTGTATACTATCATTATGTAGATGACATATTTGTTATAGTAAAAGACCCAGCTGAGCAAATTGATCTAAAAAGCCATCTAGAGAGAGAGAGAGTCAGTCAGTACTCCAATTTACCCATGAAAATAGTGAAAATAACAGTTTGCCTTTCCTGGATGTGGTGATAAAAAAAACAGGAGCATCTCTATGCATCAGCATATATACTAAGCCTACATACATAGGATTATGCCTAAACGGTAGGAGTGAGTGCCCCCAAAAATACAAAGCCGATGTTCTCAACGCTCATATTCGTCGAGCCCTTACACACTGCTCAGAGTGGAGCAACGTGAGTAAGGAGTTTGAAAGACTAACTCAAGTGTTAGTGGACAATGGTTATAGCAACAAAGAAATAAACACTACTATATTTGACACCTAGACCGATGTTATAATCCTGAACCTAGAATAGAAACCACAACATCTCCAATCAAATTATATTACAAATCAACCATGCACAGTGAACATAAAAAAGAAGAAAAAAATGAGACATAATCTGTAAAGGAGTAGAAAGCATAACTCCTTACCAAAACATAGACTTAATCATATTCTATAAAACAAAGACGACTACCAACCTTCTCATTAAACACAGGCCCGAAGCTGATGGAGAACACTTTACAGCAGTCAAACGTGATGTATATTGACACCTGTCCTCACGAAGGATGTAGCCTTCAATCTAAGTATATAGGTATGATGTCGACCAAGCTGATGAGGCGTTTGATTTGTCATCTTCAATCAGGTGCCCCTAAAAATCATACGAGACAAGCCCATAACATCACCCCTAACAAGAAAGATATTGAATAAAATACTTGTATAATAGACAAAATCCGAGATGTAAGAAGATTACAAATTTTGGAACTAAGCCACATAAAAATAGAACAACCCACCATAAATAACCAAATTATGGAACTGTTCACGTTACCCACCATGAGAGTAAGAACAAGACCAGAACGTGAAGATGCCAACATAGAAGACACTGCTCAACATGCCACGCCCACTACACCTGATTAATCTTTGTATATGCTTTGCCCCTATTTATGTCCCCTATCCTTGCCCTAGTTATGTCCTATTCTTTCTTTATGATGTACTCCTCACCTTTTTGTTTTATGCACCTGACCACGTTAATGGTATTGATCCAATATACCTAGCACTGTCCCTTCACGTGAGAATGAACCATTTAGGTTCGAAACGTGTAAATTTATAACAAGTGTAATATATTCTTTAGTTAATTATTTCATTTCCTTCACCTCAAACAAAGATGACATTTGGAGAGATCCTCTTCTAATTAAACTGAACCCAGATGCACGAGCACTAGTCAAAGAGATAGAAGCCCTAAACAAGAAAATAATCAATATAGAATATGCAGTCATATTCAATGAAACACACACACACATATATATATATATATATATATATATATATATATATATATATATATATATATATATATATATATATATATAATGTATATATATATATATATATATATATATATATATATATATATATATATATATATATATATATATATATATATATATATATATATATATACATATATATATATATATATATATATATATATATATATATATATATATATATATATACATATATATATATAAAATACATATATATAAATACATAAATACATATATATATATATATATATATATATTTATATATATATATATAATTATAATCACACTTATATAAGACACCTTACCTACAAATGGGCTGAAAAAAGAATTGAGTATAAACCAAGGATATTCAGGCTAGGCCTTATATCCTTGGATTCAGAATGTGTACAGTTGGAGCACAAACAGTATCTCATAAGTCATGTTATATAAGCAAGTTAGTAAAACTGTGCATGGAAATATCTAAATAGATCAGTAAATGTAGACAGAAAATATTCCATTCTTGTAATCTAAATAATGGCAAGACAAATTAGTAATATACATTTTTCTTGGATAGTGACTTCTTTTAAACTAAGACAAAATTTTGTTTACATAAATAGCACAAATAGCAATAAGTATGAAAAACATAAATGGTATGTCTTGTTAAGTGAACTTTCCTTGCTTTTTTATATTTATTCTATTTATCATCTATATTATTATAGTGTATAATTGGTTTTTACTCACTAAAAGTCTTCCGCAAGTAAGATGTTTCTGTAGTTGTCAGCAGCACATTTGTCTGCTCCTTACACAAACACTAGAACTGCTTTTTGTGTTTCCTTCTACACCCTATGTAACACACTAAGCCCATGCAAGAACAGCACTTGAAAAACACATGAAGCACACAACTGGTTATCTCAAGCAGGCTTAGCCATTGTGTTTTGTCATGTGGTCAAAGAGTTTAGTGGCTTTGATTCACCTGCAAGAAGAAATTGCTAGTCTGTTCTTTTTGAGATACATCACTTAGTACTTTTCAAATGTTCATGTTATTAGGTGCTGCTTAAACTTTCGCAGCTTAATGGAAGCACATAACAAAACTCTGCAATTAACAGTACAGTATTGTCAAGTTATTTGTATATTGTGTTTACATTTAATTTTATCTAGATTTTTCAATTTAAGTTTTGTTTGTGTATTCCAGTTTGACTTTTATGTCAGTGACCCTAACACTTTTATCAACTAGACACAGTAAGTTCTGTTTTACACCCCCCTAACTTCATTATGGCTGTATTTATGGCATTAATTATGATTATAAACATAATTTTAATATTTTTGTAGAATAAGTTTTTCTAAAGGGGATGTCCACTAGACTAGCCAATGGGCTTGTGATGTCATTGTCTATCCAAAGTTATTTAGGAGTGATATATAATAAGAAAGAATTTTATTGATGCCAATTTCAGAATGTGTAAAATATCTTAACAGTATCATCCTGAAACCTCTTAAGTATAGAATGACAAAACTGCCCTTTTATGTTACAGTATTAGGTTAATGTCTAATCGAAAGTGAAGCCTACATAGGTTAGTGGTAATTTGTAACTCTCATACAGCTCATTTTTATCCAAATATTTTCCAAATAGCTAATGTCCTTTTTGTTAAATTGCATTAGGCCTGCTAGTTTTTTTGGCCATCCCCTTCTAACTGATAACATGACAAAAATAGCCCCATTGATTATAGGAATTAACTATTTGGTCTGGGTCCAGCGCAGAGACTACCTTTAATACCCAGATAATTATCCATTATTTACTTATTTCTAAGTTCATCATTCATGTTGTTCCAGGCTGCTAAGGGAATAAGGAAGCTGCTGTTTGCCCTCATAGTATCTCTCCCAGCACTGTTTAATATTGGTGCATTGCTGTTCCTCATCACTTTTATCTATGCCATCATTGGCATGGCAGTGTTTGGCCATGTACAGCGGAAAGGGGCTCTTGATGACCTTGTCAACTTTGAGACCTTTGGCAACAGTATGATGCTATTATTTAGGTAAATTTATGACCTCCTGCATTAATGTTACAATGTTCTATTTAATTAATGGTCTGTTCATATTTTGTTATAACTAATGTTAAATTTAAAATTTTAATTATAAATTAGCATTAGATTATATTAGCATTATAAATTAGATTATATTATCATTTTGAAAGTTTCATTTAAAGTAAATGTTATAAAGACAGTAATACATCAACATATTTATACATAGAGTACTTAGGTTGCAAACTATCAACTTATGAATGCAAGAAAATACTGTTACTGAATGTCTGTTGTTTAAGCCCTTGCTAAATCTTAATACTGTAACTGAAAAAAAATGAGATTAAATTTTAGCCTTTTCAAATGTAAGAAAGTGTGATAACTGATATTAATAATTAGAAACTCTTTCTCTCTTTTTTTTATCAGACTTATCACCTCAGCAGGCTGGAACGATGTCTTAGACCCCTTGATGGCTCAGCCTCCAGACTGTGACATCAACTACATGAACCAGCCCAATGGCAATTGCGGCCACCCTGCCATCGCCATTGTGTTCTTTGTATCATTCATCATCATCAACTTCATGATTGTAATCAATATGTACATTGCTGTTATTCTCGAAAATTTCAACCAAGCCCACAAAGAGGAGGAGATTGGCATTGTGGAAGATGACCTGGAGATGTTTTATGTTAGATGGTCCAAGTGAGTAGCATTCTTGTTTACTATTTCATTCTGAATTTTTGTATTGTAATCTTTTATTCACTTTAAATATATATATCTTAACAAATACAGTACAGTGCAGTCCCAATTATCAGAAATGGCTTTACCCAAAAAACCTAGCGTTGAATGTAATGAAACGCTATTTTCTGGATGAGACCCGGTGGCTTCCCGGAGCTTACTAGGCTGATATACTAATGTCAGACTTTGCATCAGTCATGTGTATGGAGTTCTGTGGGCCTACTGGAAACCACAAGCCAGAACCTGGCCCCCTCAGAGAGGCATGGGGAGCAATGGCCTATAGACACACCCATGTGGTTGGAAGCATTCTATGTCTGCCATCGACTGGGTCAGGCACCCAGTAAGGTAAGCATCCCAAAACAAACCCCTATTCTAGTGAAAGTATTGTTACCAAAAGCCAAACAAGTGGATAGAACTCCCCTCAAAGAAACGAGCAAACGAGCAAGATGTCACACGTCTCCGTGCCACTGTCTGTGCATCTCCCCCTTGCCCTTGTTTGGCCTTGGGTAGGGACTGGTATTGTGGTGGTTAGGGCATCAAGGTGTTGCACGGCCTGCCACCTACGCAGCGACCGTTTCCTGTTGCCTCTGGGGATGGTGTACTTTTACAGGGTTTTTCTTTTGTTTTTCTTTTAATTTGCTTGGTGGGGATCTGCCTAGTGTGGGTATAGTTCCACTGGTAGTGTTTGGTGGCTCTCTGCTAGGCCCCCTTGATTGTACACGTCGCAGGGGTTTTCAGTGTTGCATCCCCCCTTGTTAGCTTGGGTGTTTAACCGGTTAGCCACACCTTGCCCAGGCTTCCCATAGCAGTCAGCCTACGGGCCCTGGAAAACCTTGTCGGGGCTCGGTGGACTATTGGATGTGTCTTCCGGGTTCCTTCCCGTCTTGTGTGGGTTCGTTGGTTGCAGTGCCCTTGTCTCAGGGTGACAGTCACCACTTTTACCTCCATCATGCTGCCTGTTGGGTCACTGACACCTTGACCCGGAGCCATGCGAGTTGTATTCTCTGCTTGTTCTGCCGTACTCTCCTGATGTCATTACTGTTTAGAGTGCAGGTGGCATCCGTATTGCAAACTTGGTTCAGATTGCTGCAATGCGCTAGGCTGGTTTTCTTCCCGAATGCCCCGGGGCTGCCTAGTTTTGGTTAGGTGCTGTTCGCCCCTTTCCCTCCCTGTTCCGTGCTCCTGACTGTCTGCTGGTTTCAGGGTCAGGGCAGGGTTTAGTTGGTGCCGAGACCCAGGCGGCTTTGGGGGCTGCCCTGTTCTTGTTGGGGACTGAGGTTTTTGAGCCTGTTCTTCCTGCCAAGGCTTCTTGTTCTTACCAGCAGCCCATCTTTGCTGCCTTTCCCCTGGACTCTTCCTTCTCTTTAACCCTTAAATGGTGCATGGCTATATACCATTTGACACCCACAGGCGCATACAAAAAAAAAACAAAAAACTTTTTTCTTCCTTACCTGTTAAGTTGTGTTCCCTGATCATGGGGAAAAAAAAAAAATCATTTGTACTTACCGGCAATGTAATTGAGCCGAGAAGATGGGTGATGACGTCACAGTTTGCATGTTCGCTCATGCACGGTGCGTCCTAGAGGCATCGCACGCAGTCTTCAAGCAGCCAGAGTTGCCATGAATTTATTTTCGCGTCATTATTTGCAGTGTCTAAGCGTGTATTCTTTGCAATATTAGTCACTAATTATGTTGCACATAATGTTACTTCACAGTTATTGTCAATATATATTGCATACATCGAGTATACACATGCGCGCACAAACGTTTTCCATTACGGCATTATATTATGTACAGTAATCACAATGTTCATTATTTTATATGTACACACTAGCACGCACTATGTACAGGTTTTTGCATTATTATTGCACATTTAGAAATCTTGGAGTGAGTGGTAGTTGTTGAAGCAGTCAACAGCACACAATGCAACTCCACACCCTTCGCACCATGTTTGCACCATTTTACGTTTCTGTTCTCTTCGTTTTGTTGTTTTACATACTACGCATGCACGTTAGCCTATTGCACGCTTTCCACCTGGTGGCAAATTCTTTAGTCTGTGTTGCTGAAAGGCATCTATGTGAGCGAGCCTGGGTGTTACAGCATGCTGCAACACTGGGTTCATGATTGGTCTTCGTATGCCAGGGACTTCTTGACCAAACTTTGCTAATAACTGTGTTGCAAGTGTAAAAGCAAATGAACGGAAAATAGGTTTACGTCCAGTTTTCACCAGATACAAATTATAGCAGTTCAACATGCTCATGCCAACAAGATGGAAAAACACTTTTTTCGTCCACTTCAATGTTTTCCGCACACACTCGATAGTGCCAATCATCATGTCAGCCTTATCAATCAAACGCATGTTGAGATTGTAGTCAAGAACACAATCTGGCTTATATACTGGTTCTCTTGTTACACGGTGCACCTTGCCACTGTTCAACATTGTACCCTCATGAACGGTTGTCAGCAGGTTCACTTCTCTCTTGTCTTTCCACCGTACCGAGAGTATTTGATCACATTTCCATACCTGGCACTCACCAACTGCAAGTCCACCGTCAAAACTGACCACCCTTCTTCGTGCCTTTACTGTGCCAACCAATCCGGTTCTATTTTCAATCAAGAACCTAGCTAGTAATGGACTTGTATAGTAATTATCTGTGTATAGGATGTGGCCCTTGTTCATCCATGGTGCCATCAGTGACTTCACCACACTACCCGAGAAACCATGTTCGTTGTTACCGGGAATGTCTACATCACTAGCTGAATACAGAATCATGTGTAACATGTATCCTGTTTCATAGTCGCACAGTACAAAGAATTTCAAGCCAAATCTGTTTCGTTTGGAGGGAATATACTGTTTGAATGAAACACGTCCTCATTCACGGTGGATGCCTTTCGGCAAGACTGATCGAGGTAGAGTTACCTGTTCCTCTTCACCTGGTCCAGCTGTTGCTTCGGTTTCTGGCTCGGTTGGAGTCCTTCCCGAGGAGAGTAGTTCTTATGGTCTCTTGGTGGCTGGCCCAGCTGTGTTTTCAGATGCTGCTTGATTGGTGTCCGAACCCGGAGCGTTTCCCGCAGCTCCGCCTCTTTTGGCAAGTCGGACCGGTCCTGTACATGACTGGTTCGGCCTTCTCCTCGGCTCTTCGCGTCTGCTTTGTTATGCGGGTGTATAACCATCTCTATGGTGATCAGGTGGCTTCGTTGATGGTGTCCCACTTGCGAGCTTCGTCTCGGCGACAGTGTGACATTCCTGGCGTTTCTATTAACCATTTTCTTGCTCTTCGTAGGTTGTCTTCTCTTTCGCATTGCGTTATCTTTTCCTTTCTTGGGTTTTCAGAACTGTTAATTGATGCTTCTTACTGTCGCCTCATATTGTGCGGCGCTGGTGGTGCCACTCCGGCTTGTGTTCGGGGTGGACATCACATCCTCCCCGTTTCATACATTTCTCGTGTTGTTTCACCTCCGGCCTGCTCATGCATCGCCTGAACCGTCCTGGTCCTTGATCAGGGTGCCCTCTTATCCTTCCTCTCCTCAGTTTGTGGTAGCCCCTTCGGTTCAAGATTGTTTTTCAAAGGCCATATTTTGTTGGCATTGGCCTCTGTGGGTCGGGTCGGCTTCCGGCTCTCCTCCGGCGCAGAGGTTTCTGATCTTTTGGTACTGGTGGTAGGTTTGTACGCTTGCAGCCTTTCTCCGCTCCTCTGGCGACAGTTAAGACTGCTGCTTTTCGGAGGGGTCCTTGGGTTATTGATGCATGGTTGGTTCGGCCGTGGGTGCGACATGTGTTGTCCAGTTGCGGCTCTTCGCCATTACCTGCGTGCCATGGCTGGGGATGTGCTTTGGGTTCATCCTGTTCCCCTCGTTCCCTGTTTCAGGGCTCGGGTCTCCCAGGTCATCCGCAGGTTTCTTAAGTCTACCAGCCTGTAGTCTATTCTTGTGCTCGTGCTGTTCGGACGTTTGCAGCTTTCGCTGCAGTGTTTGGTGACGTCTTGGGCTCATTTCAGGCACCAGGATTTGGAGGTCGCACAGGTTCATGGACGCTCGTTTCATTTGTGAGCATGTCTGCTCCTGTGTGTTCATGTGTTGCTTTGGGTTGCAGTTTGCTGCCTGTTGTCTTGACTTTGCATTGCGGAGTTTGTGACGGCCGCCTCCTGGGTCAGCCCTTTCTTTTCCTTTTCTTTGGGTATGAAGCTCCAGGGAGCCGTAGGGGGCTCCCCACAGAAAATTAGCGTTGAATGTAATGAAACGCCGTTTTCTGGGTGAACCCTGGAGGCTCCCTGGCAACCCTCCCTCCCACCGGTCGGCATTTTTTTCACGTTGGTTGAGGCTTAGCTTCCGAACTGGTACTAGCAGCCCTCCCTCTCCCCCTTCTCCTCTCGGGGCAGGGAGGGCTGTGCGGACGAGCGGTGCGGCAGTAAAGTGTGATGTTTACTTGTTTGCTTGTTTCCTTGGGATTGTAAGGAGTTTCTACCACTCTGTTCGTTTTTTTGTTTTAGTTTCTTACCATGTGTGGTTTGTTTTGTTTTGCCTACCTTTCTGGGTGCCTAACTCCGGTCGATGGCAGATAAGGAAAACCCCCCAACCATAAGGGGGTTTTCCAGAGCCATTGCTCCCTGAAACCTCTCTGAAGGGGCCAGGTTCTGGTCCCTGGTAGGTCTGAACTTCATAGCTAATGTCCCAGTCTAACATAACATACATTAGCCCGATAAGCTCTAGGGAGCCTTTGGGGCTCACTAAGAAAATGGCGTTTCATTACATTCAATGCTATTTTGTTTTGCCTGTTTTAACATGTTTCTAAAGTGAGACATAGCAGTGTCATTTAACTTGTTTAAAATATAGTTTGTCACAGCTAAGGAATTTCTTCCTTCTGTCCTCCTCTGAAGACAATTCCTCAACTGCCATGTGTTGTGACACATCTTTACAGATTGAGTGCCGAGCAAATATTATTAATAATAATTTATTTGCAAGAAAGTACAATGAGTTGGTGTGGATTACATAAGATAGGTATTTTTCACATTCATGCAAAGCCACTAACACCCATAGCATTTCGGGCAAATGGTTGACTATTGAACATTTCTGTGGGGAAGTCCCGTAGTCTCCTGGGAGCCTCTAGAGCTCGACCCAGAAAATGGTGTTTCATTACATTCAATGCTGGGTTTTTCCTTGAATAAGGTGTTCGAGTGCCAAATTGTTCAAGATCAGAGCTTTTCAAATGCCAGGGAATCACTGTATATCAAATACTGCCATACCTCTATATAAGACCTTCCAATTTATGTAATTTAAACTTTCATTTGGTGAGCTTTTATAACCGCTTTTCAGTTTATATGCTTTAAGTTTAACTGTGTCTATTTTGCAAATATAAATATCAAATATAAAAATTTGAAAATAAAAATATAAATTATAAGAGACTTGATGAAGCTGAATTGGCTGAATTGTAATACAATTTTTATGTATTAATTAACATGCCATATTTTCAGGTATGATCCCCATGCCACACAATTTATCAACTTCTCGCAACTCTCAGACTTCATTGCTAGTCTAGACGGTCCCTTTGGGATCCCCAAGCCAAATACTGTTGCCCTAGTGTCTTTCGACCTTCCCATCGCTAAGGGGGATAAGATCCACTGCCTGGACATCCTTCATGCTCTTACAAAACATGTCCTCGGGCATGTGGAGGAAACCGAGGAATTTAAGAGGGTGAGTGGATCTGCAAGTTGTTGGCAAATTAGGTTATCAAAACCACGAACTTTTCATACCAAAATCCATGGGCAGTTGTACTTAGTCAGTTGTGTGTTGATGGTGGATGTGATGTGTAATGTGTAGGTGTGAACAGTTGTAATGACATTAACATTCATCATGTGATCTTAAAGTTACTAATCATATGATCATTGTTGTTACTGATGTTAGTACACAGGGGTATGGTATTCCATTAAGGGGCAGACCACGTGTTGGATGGATGGTTCTCTAATTACTAGACTACCATTTTGTGTACTGTTGGCTATTGGAAAACTACAATTTTCATTTGTCTTTCAGTCAGTTACGACCATCTTTATACACGTTGTCTATTTTATTTTTGCTTTTTATAACAAGGTCATTTGCCTTCAGTTATATTTTCATATTCTCCCCCCTCCCATCCTGGAGCCATGCACTTGTTAATGTGTTTATGTGGTGGAATAATTGGCAGGAATGCATTATAGTACATGCAGATTTTATCATTTATTTATATTATTTCGTTAAACTTTTTAAATTATGGACAAATTTTGTTGTATAAAGTTGATGGCGTTGTGTGGTAGGAACCAGATGTGTTTTTAAAGTATCCAGATTTGGGACTCATTTACCAAGCTAACACAATAATGCAAGAGAAGGATTAAATGCTATACTGATCTATGTAAAATTTCTAAGAAGGCCTCCACAGTATCTGCTCGAGACACGTACTGGTATGCCTGCCAAATCTTCAGAACCATATTTAGCTTTTATAACTCATGAGCATCTACCAGAGACCAGCACCAGAATTTAGTCTACTCAATAGAGGGAAAGGGAACTAGTGGGATCTAGGATCAGTAACCAAGAGAAAAGTTCAACATAAAGGTAGAGTGCACCAAAACATCAATGCATGGATCACATTTGTAATGATGATCCTTACTCTATAAACAACTGTTACCCTGGCCAACACATTGGTTCATAGCTCAACCCCCGATAACTTAACATCCCCGGTTCATAGATGGCAACCCCGATAACTTGGTGCTCTGGGCAACTAACCAAACCATTCACTCAACTAGTGTCCTGTCCTGTGCTACTCATATGGCTTGAAAAGGGTGTACAGTCTCCTTTTCCAGATAAGTACTGGTCTTCCTTTGGACAATGTTTGACAGAGGGGCCTGTGCTTTTTTTTTTTGTTCCTTTAGCTACCCGTGATTAAGTGCCTCACTTTACATGTGCCCAAGTTTACTATTCACAACAGCTGTGTGAGACCAGGGTTCTCTTCTTTGGTTGCCATTAGCAATGCTTTTGCCTTCAACCAGAGTTCTCTTACCTGAGGAGGTTTGGGTTTTCCATTGATGAACAGTGGAACCTCGACTGACGAGAGCCTCAAATTACGAGCATTTTGAGTAACAAGCGCGCCGATTGCTGACAATTTGTATCAATTGATGAGTGCTCGTTTGATTAACGAAAAAACCAAACCACATGGTGCATTCCCGCAGCTTCTCGCACATTCTCGGACGCCTCCGACAATGCAAATAAATTATTTTTTTGTGTAACCCCTTAACTGCGTTGCCTTCAAATATGACACCCCCCAGTGTGCAGGAAATAAATTCTCTGGATTTTTTTTTTTTTAAAGTGTCAAGTGTCAAACCCTTCCCTGAGTATAGGTATGTAAAAAATAAATCAAAATTGTACTTACTTTAACTGCTATGGGGTCCGTAAGTTGGGGGCGTGACGTCATCATTCCCCATTTGCCCATGACGTACGCTCCCGGGGCCAGTAGGGCGCTCGGGGCGGGGCGCACGAGTTGCCGCGAATATATTTTTGTTAATTTTTTGCGCACAGTTTCAAATACATTTTATTTGTTTTTACGTGCTAATCCTATGTGTAATGAACACGTACACTATATTATGGCAGTAAAACATCCGTACTGTCCGAAGACACTGTGTTACGTGCACGACACTTGTGTACACATATGTTGCACATATTTACCGTGTATCATACTAATTTATGTATATATACAATCTATTTACACAATGTACACTGTCACACAGTATATACATTCACCGTCAACACACACACCGAACTCCTCGAGTGCGAGCAGCCACACCCAGCCAGCCAGTCCTCCCTTATTCCTCCAACATTGTACTCGCCTTCACCCCTCCTCCCACCATACTGTTATTCACACTAATGTTTCAGGTTCATTTATGTATATTTACAACACATTTACACACTCTACACTGTCACACACCACAAACATACTCAGAGCTCCGCGATTATGAGCTACCACAAGCCTGCTAGCAGTTCTGGGGCTGTTTGCCCCTGATTGGACTTTGTGCCTTCTGGACGTTTTTTTTTGTCTCACCTCTCGTCTGCTTTAATTTCCCACATTTGCTGGCATGATTTCGGCTCTCTTGCGCCAGTTGCGTCTCCATTTGTTTTGGTGGTCATTTTCTTTTCTGTGGGTCGCTTCCCTGCCTGGTCCCCAGGGCGGCACTGTGGTTTGTTTGTTTACATGTGCTGGGAGTGTGCGTTCACTTTTTAAGGGAGTTTTCTGGGTGTATGAACTCCGCGAGTATGAGCTGCCACACCCAGCCAGCCAGTCTTCCCTCTCTCCTCCAACATCGTACTCGCCATCCCTCCTCCCACCCTACTCTTACTGTTTATATTACACTATTTACATATGTTATGTATATCTATCTACATGTTTTATTCACCAGAACTGCAAGTAAGCCGGTATTGTGTCCAAACAGTACAGGTGCTACCATACACTGCATGAGAAATCACACAGCAGACAACGCTACGATTATGACGTCACCTCCCTCACCAAAATAGCTCCTCCCAACATACTCCTGTTATTACACTATATATACACACTGTATATACCCATGTACATATGTGTTCCCCATAGCGAACCACTACGCTAGTATGGTGAGCAAAACAAGAGTGGCTGCTATACACAGTGGAGGCTACCTCAATTCGACTTGAGAATGGTCCAGGACGGACCGAAACGTCGTCGTCCCTTCGACTTCTAGTGTGTGGTCTGGTCAACCTACCTCAATTCTCTCCCTCCCTCCCTCACCAAAATTCCTCCTTCCACAATACTATGCACAATGCTAATTATAACCACAACCCTGGTCACTAATTCCTGTAAATGAATAATTGACCACACATTTATTTTGAAAAGGAACCTAAGAAGTCATTTGAAGATTCCTAGATGGACGAAATAATGCTGTGGTGCTGTGGCTAGCGCTGTGAACATCGTGAACAGCATTGAATCACTGATATTTGAACATTGTTCCCAGTCATTATCACACTCAGGCTCTTCTATAATACTATCATGGCTAAATAATACAGATTGTATATATATTTTGACATTATTAGGCGATGCTGTGGTCACACGCTGAACAGCAGAGCTGTGCGCTCGTACTGCGAGCGCCAGCCTTGGTTGCTCACTCACTACTGAGGCTCTCACACCCGGGAATGTGAACCACGATTTTTTTTAAAGATGGCGTCTGTTTACAAGAGCCCTGAGGAAGCTGATGTGAACCCCATGTAGCCACAGGAGTTTTGAATGGAAAGTGAAAAATAAGAATTCCCGGAGGCACGTTGCGCAAACCAGACGTGGGCCTGCAGGCACGTTGCGCAGTTTAAGGGTTAAAGATGCTAATGATGCAATAAGGTAAAGGGGTGATTGCTGTGATGTTGTAAAGCATTGAATTTATTTGTAGAATAAACAAACAAAAAATGAAAAAAGTTGAAAAAAGAAAAATGTCATAAAGGTTTGTTTAGTGTGTGCCAGGTAGGCTGCTCCATTGTTAATAAATAAATGAAAAATACAAAACAAATTGAACACATTTGAAACAAAGAAAGATTGTCATAATGGAGCAGCCTACCTGACAAACACTAAACGAAACTTTATGACATTTTCCTTTTTTCAAATTTATTCAATTTTTGTATTTGTCATTTTTTTTTTAAGAAAAATGAGGCAGCCTACATGACAAACACTGAACGAGCCTTTTGCTACAAAAAAAAAAAGTGAACAAAGTTGAAAAAAGAACAAATGTCATAAAGGTTTGTTTAGTGTATGTCAGGTAGGCTGCTCCATGTTTCTTAAAAAAAAAAGGAAAAAAAAAAAAAAAAAATAATTGAACAAATTTGAAAAAGGAAAAATGTCATAAAAGTTTGTTCAGTGTATGTCAGGTAGGCTGTTCCATTATTTAAAAAATCGAATATCATATTGATGTTTTTCAGTGGTGGAACAGATTATTTTTATTTCCAATATTTTAAATGGGGAATTCGTTTTGAAAGACGAGCATTTCACATGACGAGCTCGGTGCGTGAACGGATTAAATTCATTAATCGAGGTGCCACTGTACCTTCTCTTGAGGGGCCTTGTTTTGGGTAGTGTATGGAAATTGGTCCTCTGCAAAGCCCAGTGGTAGAAGTGGCTACATATATGTGCTCTGGCTGCAGTCTCGCTGAGCTTTGTTAGGGGATGCACTGTTGTGGAGCATGACGGACAGTTCTAGTGTTTTTGTGGTGGCACACCACTTCTTTGATGTGTGTTCCCAAGTCAGGGGAATGGGTTCTTTTCATGAGACACTCCTAGCATCTAGCGTCTTGGCATAGACTTCATTAGTAGGTGCCAGGTCCATGGTTGGAGGAATGTGTGTTGTGTTCTCTTTCATACTTACTGTCACAGTGCTCCTTCCTGTGTGTGTTCTGTTATCATGGTTGCCTTTGATTATGTGTTGTGCATGATGTTATTTCTATTGGAACCAATGAATACAAGAACCCCTCTTCCCCACCAAATAGAATCTTGAATTAACAGGTACAGAAAGTGGTGTTGAACATATCTGGAAGGTGTACTCTTTGTTTATTTGGATTATAAATGAGCAGTTGTCTTGCCTCCTCCTTTCTGCCTGTTTTTGTTTTTTAATTCTTTGCCCCAAGGTCTGCACTGTTTTTGGGGCCCCCCTTGCTGGGGGTGG